AAGAAGAAGCAGAAGAGGAACGACCCATCAAGAAAAAACCACCACCAGCAGCAGCAGAGGCCCCTGAAGCTGCAGCACCAGAAGCAGCTGCTGCAGCTGCAGCACCAGCACTGCCACCAGCAGCGGCAGCTCCTTTAGCTCCTGTTCCTGTATCTGAATTTACACCACAACTTGGTTATAGTGATGGAGCTGAACTTTGTTACTCCGTCTCCTGCCGTAGCGTCCTCTCTGGCGCTAGTCCTTCTCTACCCATCAAAGGTCATACTAAACCCTAAACCCTAGCCCTAGCCAAGAGGCGCCGCATTAGGGAATACCGCAGCAGCATCGCCTATGCAGCATATTATCTAGGGGTAAGGATTATGGTTTAGGGTTTAGAGTTTAGGGTTTGTGTGTAGGCTGTAAGAAATCGATAAAGTGTGGTGGATGTAAACCTGGAGGGACGCCCGAGGGAAAATGCAACGAATGGAAACCACCGAGACAGCCAGAAGTACTCCTTAGACATGGGGCTTACTATGGAACCAAGGTATTCTGCTGCTGCTTGCTGCTGTTGATGCTGCTGCTGTTGCTGCTTCTGCTGCTATAAATGCTCCTGGTGCTGTAATAGAAATGACAGCACTGGCATCTGTAATAACTGCTGCCTGCTGTTCTGCTCTACATGCTGCTGTTGCTGCTTTTGCCCCCTGGTGCTGCTGTTGCTGCTGCTGTTGCTGCTGCTGTTGCTGATCTCCTGCTGCTGCTTCCTATACAAATGGTGGTTTTCCGCCTTCTCTAGGGTTTACTGTCTAGGGTTTAGGGTTATTCTTTCTTTGTTCAGCGTTTATCTCGCTCTGGCTCAATAGATTTAGCCATAAAATGGGAATCAGAGAGTGTTCCTCTAGATTTTTCTCCCTGTTTACTAGATGTTAAACAGGCTACTCTAGCTGGAAGAGAACTTAGAGAGACAGGTAATTTCTAGGCTGATGCTGCTGTTATTTCTGCTGCTGCATCGGCTTCTTCTGCTGCAGAAGAGACATCAGGTCTTGGTGTTGGTCTGAGGCTAGATACTGGTTAAGCAACGGCTATACTAGATAACCTCTCAGATCTATTCATTAATCCTCAACTCGCTCATCAATAGAGTGTTTGCTAGTCTTTGCTTTAACTGATCATTACTCCGTAGAGGCTTGCTTAGTGTTTAATGCTTATTGGCTAGTCAGCGCCGCTGTCGGCCGCCATCGCGCATCCAGTATGTTGTCCCTGTAATTCGAGAAAGTATTTCTTCTGACGGAGCTTATAAGCCTTCTTCCAGCTTCTGTCTATCTTGTTGCGTCTTCTTCTTGTGGTATCTTGTTGTATCTTTGCAGGTAACGTCCGTGCCTTCGGCTTTCATCGTATGGTGCAGTTAACATTAGCGGTTCTTCGTATTCCTGAGGAGGGAGCCGAAATTGGTCCGATGCCAAAAATATCATTTGGAATAAAATTGAATGAAGGGTTGGGAATGTCGAGAGCTTTCTCAACTGTCGCTCGACCTGTCGTTACACCCGCGTGTTTCGTTCCTGAACACCGCAGTAATGTATTGACACTCCAACCTCAGGAAGCATCATTTGTTACCGGGTAAGAAACATTCACTTCATTTAATTTTATTTTTTCAATTAGTTAGAATTATTTAGAATAATTCAGATTTATAATACAGTAGTTTTACGGCTCGTTACTCGTGTTGTTTCAACAAACACGCATACACATTCAATCACTCATAAGAATATACATACGGTAGTCACAATTATGCAATACAAACATTGTAGGAGCTTTCCTTCATCCAATTCATTCATCTTCATTCAACTTATTGGATACAAATTAAATTAATTGAATACTAATAAGTCAATTTTTTATTTAATAATAATAATATTGTGCAGTTAATATATCCTCTTTATTATGTCACTACGCCTGAAAATTCAGATAATCTACTTTTTATTGCCAATGAGGAATCATTCACGTACATAAATGCATGCATGTTAAATAATTCAAGGTTAATTCATCCCAAAAGTCATTTGCTGTTAAACTTTTTCCCTTTGTCTGTGTTGTGTGTTGCAGTTGGTTTTCTGTGCCAAAGCACAAAACGTATCGTCTTTATCCTCGCAATTTTACAATTCGTTTATTTTGTCAATCTGTGGCAGAATGCCAATTATCACAATTATCTATTTGTGCTCGTCTTTCTTGTCCAATTTCTTCTCCTGATATTGAAAAAGAAGTTGCTATGGCAGAAGAAGCAATGAAACATCCTGTAGGGCCAATGCCTCTTGCTGCTCCTGGTGCTCCTGCTGCTGGTGCTGGTGCTCGTGGGGGAAGCTTGCTGATGCAGCCGCAGTTGCAGCAACAGCAGCAGCCACGCGTACAACAAGTGCAGTTCAGGGGTCGTTATGGAGTTGTGCCTGCTTGGATGCTTTCTTCTTCTCCACCACAAGCAGGAAATTGGAAAATTCTCTCTGTTGCCTTAGCCGCTGTCTCCTTCTTTTTATTCTTTTAAATTTTAAGTGCTTACTTTTTGTTTAATTATTTATTTATTGTTGATTTGTTTATTTTGTTTGTTGTATTGAACCAACGCGGCTTATGTAAGCCGAGATTGGCGTTGAAACTAGAAAAGTTTATGTTTTATTTATATTTTATTTTATTTTATTTTATTTTATTTAAAAACAAATGATGTGTAAATAAACAAAGAAAGACTCTCCTGTCTACTCAACAAAAGTTTTCTTCAGGAGGAAACAATTGGGATATAGTAGATATAGCAGGTAATAAGGTAGATAAATTATATAATTATATAATTACTATATTACACTAGAGGGGGGTATTTAAGTATTTAAAAGGAAGAAAGTAACAAAATATAAATAAAGAAGTAAAAAAGAGTTGTTAGGAAATTCTTGATGTTGCTGCCGTCATAAGCGTCTGCGCTTGCACGCCAAATTTGTGCGCGCTGTTGACGACAGCAATCTGCCAGAAAGAAGTATTTATCAAATATTTAACATTTAATTCTTAAATATTTTAGTTAATTAATTAATTAATTAAACTATTTATAAATTAAAAAATAATTATTTATTACCTGCCGTTTATATATTTCATGCAATGCCGCATACTCTGCAGCTGCGGATACACCGCAAGTTATATCTATTAACAATAAAGTTGTGCATAAAAGGAATTATAAAGACTTACCTGAATTTCTAAAGTTTTCTTTAAGTACAAACATTAAAAATAATTTATTTTATTTTATTTTATTTTATAGTATTTAATCTTCCTACCCTCAAGACTTGGGTCTTCTGGCTGTGTTAATAATCATTTATAATAATCATGATGTGTATGAATATATTACTATTTAATTATTTATTTATTTCTTACTTCTGCATTTTTATTAATTTCTTCATGAAGAAATTCATTAAATTTTTTTAATGCGACTGTTATTCTCTTTAATCTATCTTGAACTTTTGCTGCTGCTGGAGCATCAATTGGAACAAAACCATAGGCCTGAGGGTAGGCAATTTAATTCATATTCTATATTAAATGGTTTATTCATTAATGTTAATTAATAAATAAATTATTAAAAAAGAAAATAAATAAAAATAAATAAAAATATCCATTAAATGCATGCAAAAAATGCATGCATGCACCCACCTGGCCTTTTGCTAGATATCCCGGTTGCGCCAGCTGTGTGTACACCGCAATCGAAGTGGGAAGACGAAGGAAAATAAAAAATTAAGGAGGAATTTAAATCATAAGTATAATTATTTAATTAAATATAAATAATAAAATAAAGAATAGTTTAAAAGGACTTTTTACCAACAAGAAGAGAATTTATTTTTTATTTTTTCCTACTTTCTTTGTTAACTCATTTAAGGTGTCTGTACACTTCTGCAGCTGTTGCGCAAGAGGAGAAACAGCAGTAGCAGCAGTTGACAATAAATCTAAATTCTTTTTTAATTTATTAAAAGCAAATAAATTAAATAAATTAATTTATATTTAATTTATTATTTAATTTATTTATTCTTGTTACCTCGTCATGGTCGTCTGTTAACTCTGGATAACGCGCTAATGACATTTCTTTCTCTAATAAAAAGATAAGAATAAATAAGAAAAATTAAAATAAATAAAGGGATAAATAAATAAACAAATAAATATTATTATATAGTATTATTTGTACATATTATATATTAATATAGATGTAGGTATACATTTATACGCAGAACCAAATCCTCTACGCTGTTTACTGCCCAAAATAGCAACTAACCCTCGTAAACCCTAAACCCTAAACCCTAAACCCTGTTAGAACGCACCTGCTGCTGTTGTTGCTTCTTCGAGGGTTTTCCACATATCATTCTGCATAAAAAAGGGTTTAATTAAATAAATAAAATAAAATAAAATAAAATAAATAAATAAATTAAATTAATTAATTAAACCTTTTTTTTTATTTTATTTAATAATAACTAACAAGTTCTTTATGTAAGGTCATTTGTTCATTAGATGCAGTCTTTAGGGCATTAACTGCCTCTGTTGATTGTCTATTCAATATAACAAGATATAAATACCAGGGTTTAGCGAGGGTTTAGCGAGGGTTTAGCGAGGGCTTAACGAGGGTTTAAGGAACTCACCGATCCAGCTGGTCCATTACTGTTGCCTGCACAGAGCAAACGAGGGTTTAGGGTTTAGGGTTTGGGGTTTAGGGTTTGGAGAGGGGAGGGAACACACCAGTTGTGTATGAAGAACTTCAACGTCTCTCGTTATCGAAGCAGCGGCCTGAATAGAGTCTAAGGAGAGTAGGGTTTAGGGTTTATGGTTTAGGGATTAGGGTTTAGGGGTTAGGGTTTAGGGTTTAGGGTTACACTTCAGCTTACAGAAACTGGCAGTCGCTGCAGCCGACTGAGATCCGCGTTTTGCATATTAGGGTTTAGGGTTTAGGGTTTAGGGTCTAAGTCCAAGTTACCTTCTTGCCCAAGGTGTCCTGATGAGGGTTTGGATTGCATCAATACAGTACATTGAGGGTTTAGGGTTTAGGGTTTGGAGATATAAAAGGGAGGTTTACTGCTCTGGTCTGTAGGGTCCTCAGATAATTAGAGACGATGTTTGTACACCCCACGAACTGCCTGTAACAAACAAGGGTTTAGACATAGAAAGGGTTTAGGGCTTAATATTTAGGGTTTAGGGTTTAGGGTTTAGAGTTACCGGTGTTCATCTTCTTCTATTGATGTTCCCATGAGGTAAGGAATGACAATATTGCGGCAAATTGATCTAAATGTTGGATCCCTAACAACTAACACTCATAAACCCTAAACCCTAAACCCTACTAAACCCTAGTAAACCCTAGTAAACCCTAGTAAACCCTAGTAAACCCTAAACCCTCGATTACCTGCTGGATATTTATTGCAGTAAGCGGAAAACCCTCCATCAACGCAAAAGTTTTTACTGTACCCTAATTGGTGTTTATGAATCACTGATCACCACCAGCAGCAACAGCAGCAGCAGCAACAACAACAGCAGCAACAGCAGCAGCAACAGCAGCAGCAACAGCAGCAGAAGCAGCAGAAGCAGCAGCAATGGCAGCAAAGCCTAACCTAATACATTAACAGCAACGAGTTGGCATGCATTAAATGATTCCTTAAATACAAATATATTAATTAATTAATTAATTAATTAATTAATTAAAATAAATAAATAAAATAAATAAATAAATAAATAAATAAATAAATAAATTTACTGCAAGACGACGACAGTCATTTATTTCTCCTCTTGAAAATCCCCGAATTTCAAAACTTGTTGGAGACTCTTCGTTACCTCTAACTAATAAATAAATAAATAAATAAATAAATAAATAAATAAATAAATAAATAAATAAATTAATTAATTAATTAAATTAATCAATTAATTACTCTTATCTGTACGTAGATGAGAAGAAGAACAAAAAGCATCAGGGTCTAATATAGTATTAGAGGATTTATGATAAGAAGTACAACTTGAATGTTTAATAGAAAGAAAAGAAGATTGTTGACAAGAATTAAGAAGAGAGAAAAAAAGAGATAAAGAATCTATACAACTCTTATTAGATTCATATTCAATAAATTGGAGGGTACAGAGAGGTCCTGCTATATCCTTATAACAACCCTATAAGAAGAAATAATAAAAGAAAAAAGGAACAAATTAAATAAAAAGGGCGGAAAGAAAGGAATAAATATATGTATTATACTCACCAAGTCGGATTTGTTAAAGGCAAGTAGGGCGGACTGTACATAAATTAGGGAAATAGAGGGAAAGAAGGGGAGAAAAAAGAGGATAAAATGATTAAAACAAACCTCTCCTACTCCTATAAATTGTCTACAGGTCTAAAAGGAGAATTAATTCATCTTTCCTTCTTTTTTTAATGACAGAAGACTGCAATCGGTTCAATTGCTTACTTCGGGTAATTTATACGTTAAGAAACGTTCACCATAACTGCTTAATCCTGTACTTATATAACGACAAACGGCCTCCTAGAAAGGGAAAAAAGGAATAAAAAAGAATAAAAAGGACGTTTTTTATGAAGAAAGAAGGAAAGTTGGCTATACCACATTCCCCATCGGTGATGTCGGTTCTGTTGAAGAAACGAGGGGAATAAAACACAAAGAGGTAAAAATATACTTTTTCATCTTGTAAACAAGAAAAAAAAGAAAATAAAATAAAAAGTAAATATATTTTTCTCTTTTTTATTGAAGGATTATCTTTTATTTATAAGGTTTCCTGATGAATCAACTCCGATCTGCCGTCCTGATGGACCTGCACATACACCTGAAATCTTGAATGCGATTCGTGAGAAAGCTGTTGTTAACTTCATTATTCTTGAAGGCTTGAACTATATTATAAGTAAATGTTTGTTTTTCATTTGTTGTTTTTCTTTTTTCTTCGAGATCAATGCCAGTAGTGCCTCTGCCATGAACAAGGAAGGATGCTCGATCTGTCAAGGTGACCTGCCGTGATTTCCGATGGTGACGGCGGCAAAGCAGCAGAACGGCAGCCTTTTGCGGCTTTAAAGGATTAAATCCTCTTTAAATAAATAAATATATTCAACTAAATATTTTTACTATTATTTAAATACTTTTATTTCCTTCCCTTTTCATTTTTTGGCGAGAAGCAGATATTCCTTCTTTATGCCTGCTTGCCTTCTGGTGCAGCGGCTACCATTAGGACTTTCTTCGTAGGACTACAGGATTAAAGATAAATTCTTTAAAGAACAAATTAAAATTAAATTAAATTAAATAAACGTTTTAATTAGTTCTGTTTCTAGATGTGAGTAAGGAATCTTCTCCTGCTAGACATTCCTCTTTCCTCCTCCCCTTCTTGCAGCTAAATTATAGAAGAACGGGCTCTATTTGCTGCTGCTGCTGATCCCTATACAAATAAATAAATAAATACTCCATTTTCTTTCCTTTTTTTCTTGCAATTCCTCAGGGGTGTATGTAAAGGCTTAGCCTTCAGATTTAGAGCTGGAGGGCTATTCCTTATAGGAGCAGC